ATGGAATGTCAGCTTGTGATCCAGGGCCTCAGGGCCTCATGCACTTCCTCTACAAGCAGAGGATGTCAACTTCCTCCCCGGAAGTCAGTAGCAGCAGGTGTAGGTTTACTATGGAGTCTGGATTTTAAGAGACTGTTGAAATGTAATTGCCCTGCTGCCTTTGTTTAGCTACAAGGTAAGCAACAATGGTTCAATGTACACAAATCAATAAATGTGATATATCACATTAACAGAATGAATGATATCATATGACCATCTCAGCAGATGCAAAAAAGCATTTGATGACATTTAACATGTTTTCATGATTTTAAAAAAAAAAAAAAAAGCTCAACAAATTAGGTAAATTGGGTATAGGACCCTCAACACAATAAATGACATATATTACTAGCCCACAGCTAACATTATAGTCAAAAGTGCAAAGCTGAAAGGTCACAAACAAGACAAGGTGCCCAGTTTTACCACTTCTATCCAACATAGTACTGAAAGTCCATCAGAGAAATTATGCAAGAAAAGAAATAAAAGACATTCAAACTGGAAAAGAAGTAGTAAAACTGTCTCTGTTTGCAAATGACAGATCTTATATATGGAAAACCCTGAAGACTCTTAAAAAAATCTAAGAACTAATAAAAGAATTTAGTAAAGTTTGAGGATATAAAAGTCAACATAACAAAAGTTAGCTGCATTTCTATATACGTTTCAGTAAACAAAAAAAGTAAAAACCCACAAAAATCAGTTGTTTCTATATAATAAAATGAACTATCCAAAAAAGAAATTAAGAAAACAATTCCATGTAGAATAGCATCAAAAAGAATACAATACTCGGGAATAAATTCAGTGAAGGAGGTGAAATATCTGTGCACTGAAAACTATGAAACATTGATGAAAAAATTAAAGAAGACACAAGTAAGTGGAAAATATCCCATGTTCATGAATTGAAAGAATTAATATTCTTAAAATGTCCATACTACCCAGAGCAATCTACAGACTCAATGCAATCCCTATTAAAATTCTAATGGCATTTTTCACAGAAAGAGTAAAAACAATTCTGAAATTTATATAGAAAGACCCCACAAAAGACCTCAAATAGCCAAAGCAACCAAGCAAGAAGAACAAAGCTAGAGGTATCACACTTCCTGATTTCAAATTATACTACAAAGCTATAGTAATCAAAACAGTGTGTTACTGGCATTAAAAAAACCCAGAAAAACAAAAACAGACCGATAGACCAATGGAACAGAAGAGACAGCCCAGAAATAAACCCATGCATATATGTTAGTCCGTTTTTGTTCCTTATAACAAAGTACACTGAACTGGGTGATTTATAAAGAAAATGAAATTTATCGCTTACAGTTTGAGTCTGGGAAGTCCAAAGTCCATTTGGTGGTGGTGGCAACAGTGACCCAGGGGTCTCACATTGCAAGATGGTGGAAGTAGAGAGAGCAGAAAGAGAGACAGACTCTCCTCTTCTTTCAAAGCCCCCAGAACCATGCCCCTGACCACCATTTTTAATTCATTCACTACTGCACAGTCCTATAATCCAATCACCTCTTTAAGGCTCCATCTTTCAATTACCACAATAGGATTTTCCACCCTCTTAACAGTCACAGTGTGGACTAAGTTTCTAATACATAAAACGTGGGGGATACAATTCAAGCTTCAGGGAGTTTTCGGGGGACATAATTCAATCCACTACAGTCAATTAACCTTTGACAAGGGCACCAAGACTACAGAATGGGGAAATGATAGCCTCTTTAATAAATGTTGTTGGGAAAACTGGATAACAATATGCAGGAGGATGAAATTAGGCCCTTATCTCACCATACAGAAAAATCAAGTTAAAATAAATTAAAGGCTTAAATGTAAGACCCAAAGCTATAAAACTGCAAGAAGAAAACACTGAGAAAATCCTCCTCAACATTGGTCTCAGCAATGGTCTTTTGGATATAACACCAAAAGCACAGACAACAAATGCGAAAATAAACAAGTGGGATTACATCAAACTAAAAACTTCTGCACAGGGAAAGAGACAACCAATAAGAGGAAAAGGAAACCTATGGAATGGAAGAAAATATTTGTAAACCAAATATCTTATAAGAGGTTAGTATCCAAAATATATAAGAAGTCCATACAACTCAATGACAGAGAAAAAAGTAACTCAATTAAAGAATGATAACACCAAGGTCAAGGGTTCAGAACCCTGTGCCAGCCAGCCACCAAAAAACTAATTAAATAAGTTAAAAAATAAAACAAAAATGGGAAAAGTACCTGAATAGACATTTCTTCAAAGAAGACATACAAGTGGCCAACAAGTATATGAAAAGGTGCTCAACATCACTAATGATTTGGTAAATGTAAGTCAAAACTACAATGAGATATCACCTCACACCTGTTAGAATAGCTGTTATTTAAAAAACAAGCAAAGGGCCGGCCCGGTGGCGCACTGGATAGTGCGCCGCTTGGGAAGTGCGGCGGCGCTCCAGCCCGAGGGTTCGGATCCCACATACAGACTGGTTCCCGCTCACTGGCTGAGCGAGGCGCGGGAGCAACGCTGAGGGTTGCAATCCCGTTGCCGGTCCCCGGTCCGGTACGGGGGCAACACTGAGGGTTGCGATCCGTTGCCAGACACGGAAAAAGACAAAAAAATAAACAAATAAAAAATAAAATAAATAAAATAAAAATAAAAAACAAGCAAAAAACAAAAGACAAGTGTTGGCAAAGATGTAGGGAAATGGGAACCCTTGAACACTGTTGGTGAGAATGTAAATTAGTACAGCCATTATGGAAAACAGTATGGAGGTTTCTCAAAAATTTAAAAATAGAACTACCTTATGATCCAGCCATCCCACTTCTGGGTATATATCCAAAGGAATTGAAATCAGGATACTGAAGACCTCTACTCTGATGTTCATTGCAGCACATTCACAATAGACAAGATATGGAAACATGCTGAGTGTCTATATTAGTCCATTTCTGTTGCTTATAACAAAATACCTGTAACTTGATGATTTATAAGAAAACAAAACTTATTGCTTACAGTTTTGGTGGCTGGGAAGTCCAAAGTCAAGGAAACATATTTGGTGAAGGCTTTGGTGATAACAACAGTGACCCAGGGGTCTCACAGAAAATGGCACAGAACAGCAGAGCAGAGAAAGAGAACTTCTCATGTGCTCTTCTTTTAAAGCCCCCAGAAACATGACCCTGACTACCACTATTGATACACTAATGACAGCATCGTCCTACAATCTAATCACCTCTTCAAGGCCCTACCTTTCAATGCCCATAATAGGATTTCCCACCATCAACAGTTACAGTGGGTATTTAAGCTTCAATCACGTGGGGAAGAGGCATCTAATCTACAGTAGTGTCGATGAATGGATAAAGAAAATGCAGTATATATGCACAACGGAATATCATTCAGCCTTAAAAAGGAAGGAAATGCTGCCATTTGTAACAACATGGACGGTCCCGAAGAGTACTATGCCAAGTGAAATAAGTCAGATACAGAAAAACAAATACTGAATAATCTCACATATGTGGAATCTAAAATAGTCAAACTCACAGAAGCAGAGAGTAGCATGGTGATGGGGGAAGCGGGAGGTAATAGTTAAAAAGTACAAAGTTTTAGTTATGCAAGATAAATAAGTTCTGGAGATCTGCTATACAGCCCAGTGCTTACACTGACACTACTGTATTGTATCCTTATAATTTGCTAAGTGAGTAAATATTATGTTAAGTATTCTCACCACAAATAATAATAATAACCTGGGGAGGAGGAAGCTTTTGGAGGTTATGGGTATGTTTACAGCCTTGATGGTAGTGATGGTTTCTCTAGTGTATACTTATTCGCAAATTCGTCGAGTTGTATACATTAAATATATGCAAGATTTTATGTGTCAAAAAAGATAAAAATTAAAGGGCTTGACCTAGTGACTAGAAAGTCAGTATTAGATAAACCTCGGCCGTTGTAGTGTTTACTATTAACACTCACGGGTGGGTAAGCACTGGTGAGAAAGTGGTAGAAGCCTAGACTGTAGCTATCAGAGCTTAGGGTGACAGACTTTATAGAATATAACATTTAAGGCCAAGAGACACACCTTGAAGTCTTCCTGGAGCCTGGTTTCCTAAAAGCGGAGACTGAGACGGAGATTTGGGTACATGAGACCTACAGAGGGAAGGCACTCAGGAAGAGGAAGAAAGCAGGAAATGGCAGCAGTTATGTGGTCTCAGCTAGAGACGATCTTCAACCTGATTCAAGGGGAGCGCTAGAGCCTGGATGGCCCCGGTCTCAACCCGATGGCGAAAGGGCTGGGCCCTTACACCTCAAGCTCCATCAATCATTGTCCCCAGGCGTTGCGGGGTAGGGGTGCATGACCTCCAGGGCTTAGCAGTCCCACCAGCCAAGAGCGATCTCCCAAAAAGGGGCAGCTGTGAGCTGTTACACCCCAACACGCCCAGAAGCTGGGGACAGACGCTCCAGCCGGTAAAGGGGGTTGGGGTGGGTCACCAACAACCTCCGGGAATTCAGTCCCAGGAAGTCAGGGTGACCTTCGATGTAAGGACAGGCCCAACTCCAAGCCCAGAGACAGCGTCTGCCGCACACACCTGCCCAAGAAATACCAAGTCTCTGAGGACAGTGGGGCGACAACACAAGGCTGACGTGAGGAGTGGATGAGGTGACGGGTGTGGGCGCTCCTGGCACGAGGAACGACACCTGTAGGCTGTTCCACACACGCGAGACCCCAGTAGCAGCGAAACACCGGCGCGGCCCCAGCACCCGGAAGTGCCCGCCCACCTAGTGCGTATTTCCGGCGCGCGGGCGGACGTGACGCCACGGTGGGAGTCGGCGTCTGTCGCTCGAGTCTGTGGCCCGCGCTCAGAGGCTGCTTCCTGGAGCCGGGATTTGCTGCCCTGAGCGAGCCTAACAATCATAAATATGTACGCACCCAATGTTGGAGCACCCAGATTTATAAAACAAACTCTAGGAGCGAGCCCTGAGGTGGGGTCGGGACCCCGCGTCCCGCCCTGTGGGTGCACACGATGCGGCTGGGCTCCGGGACCTTTGCTGCCGGTTGCGTGACGATCGAGGTGCTCGGTGTCGCGCTCTTCCTTCGGGGATTCTTCCCGGCGCCCGTTCGCTCCTCTTCGAGTACGGAGCGCCGAACAGAAGCCGCCGCGCCAGAGCCCTGGGCCGGTACGGCTCCCTCCGCGGGCGCCCCGCTCCCGGAGCTCCACTTCTCCAGAGGCCCTTCCTTCAAGCGCTCTCCGGTCTCGTCCGTTGTGGCCCCTGCCCCCAGAAAATGTGGTTTTTAGTTGTTGTTTTTTACCGTTCCAGCGTTTTCATGGTTTTAAACTTTGTGACAACCTGTTCCTCTCACACACCTGCCCAGAAATACACACTAGGTAAAGGTTCTCAAGTACCAGACCAGGTTCACACAACACCAGCCACTCGCCATGGAAACACGGTTCGTAAGAGCCCGTCTATCCTACGTGCAGCTCTGTGTTTTAGGTCAGGATCTTTAAATGTCCCATTCCAGAACCTCCACGTAGGAACTCCCCTTCCCCAGTACTCCTCACCATAGTAAGGGCAATTCGTTACTTAACTACTGGAGCTTCCTGAGCCTACACACTTTTAACACCTCCTGCCCCCAGCGTTGCCTACCAAGAACACTGCCTTCTTTTGGTTTGAGATATGTAGATAGGTGCTGGAGAAGTCGGTAGAACTAGACCGTGGAGATGCTAGAATGCTAAGTAGAGTTTAAAATCAAATTTTCTTTTTTTCTTTCAATTTTAGGGGCCGGTTCCAACTGGACCAAACTCCCACCGCCTCTCTTCAGTAAAGTTGTTATCGTGCTGATAGACGCTTTGAGAGATGATTTTGTGTTTGGGTCAAAGGGTGTGAAATTTATGCCCTACACAACTTATCTCGTGGAAAAAGGAGCATCTCACAGTTTTGTGGCTGAAGCAAAGCCCCCTACAGTTACGATGCCTCGAATCAAGGTAAGTTTGACTTAATGTTTTATGAATAATGGTTTGGCTCTTTCAAAGGTGTAGAAGTGTTCTCTGTAGTCTTCTACTTGAAATCCCAGTTTTAACTAAGTGGAAATTCGTTTGGTGCTGTCACTTTGCCTGGGACAATAGAATGCTAAAGAAACCTCATAGATAAGATGCAGCTAAGACCCGTCATTTGTGCCCCTTGTCAAGTAGGCACAGTTCTTGCTTCATAGAAAGTATAAAGGGTTTAGATCCAGATCATCCAGGCCAGTCTAACCTAAGATATCATCCTTCTTAGTAACCTGCTTTCCTTTTTTTTCAGTGGGTCCATTAAAATCCTGGAAGGAACCTTTAGGATTATCTAGCCCAGACTCAACTTCATAGATAAAGAAACAAACTCAGATAAATTAAATGACGTGTCCAAAATTGTAGTATACGTAATGATCAAACTAATATGATCTAGCCTTAGCATTATCAATGTTTCTATTATATAAACCTTCAGGTGTTAAACCTAGTGAGAATGGCTTTGAGGTGCATAGTGCTTTACTTAAAAACCATGGGTAAAGAAAAAGATAAAGCTTTATTGATTGGGTCAAAAACTACTTATCAAGCAACTACTGTGTGCTGATACTGTAATGCGTATACAGTTGTGGAGAAACTGTATCACTGCCTCATGGAGCTTTCAGTCTCTAGTGAGATTCAAAGCTATTAAACAAATGAGCATACCAATAAATGTGCAGTTATCAAGTGTGATTAGCACATGATGGAAAAGAACAGGATGTGATGCTTAATGCTGGGTGGGGAGGCGCAGTTTAGATGAGAGGGTCAGAAAGCCTGTCCGAGAAAATTATGTTCAAGCTGAGACTGGAAGGATAAGTAAAGGTGTCAGGGCAGAAAGGAGCAGAGGAGTTTAAAAGTTTATTTCAGGGGCCGGTCGGGGGCGCACTGCTACAGTGCGCCGCTTGGGAGTGAGGTGGCGCTCCCGCCGAGGGTTCGGATCCCACATACAGACCGGTTTCCGCTCACTGGCTGAGCGAGGTGCGGGCGCAACACCGAGGGTTGCGATCCCGTTGCCGGTCCCGGTCCGGTACGGGCGCGACACTGAGGGTTGCGATCCGTTGCCGGACACGAAAAAAGACAAAAAGGAAAAAAAAAAGTTTATTTCAGGATACATTGCATTTTAGTAAGGTATAAAGTCTGATGATGCCTCACATTTATGGCTGACCATGTGACACCTTATTATTTGGCGAGAAGGAGCTGCTACTTATTGATTTAAGGCTTGGGGGCAGCATTTGTAGGTCCTTAGTAAATGTTCACTGGATGAATAGAACAGTCTGGTATTGGAGGAAGGTCAGTGCCATATCATTCAGTAATTTTTCTTTGAGTTTCCTACTCTCTGCCATTTTTGGATGTGGTGTGTCCTTCATTCAGCAATACTTATTGAGCATCTGCTATGTACCACACAGTATTCTAGACGAGGGGTTCAGGAAGAACAAGCAACACCGAGGGTTGTGATCCCGTTGCCAGTCCCGGTCCGGTACGGGCGCAACACTGAGGGTTGCGATCCGTTGCCGGACACGAAAAAAGACAAAAAGGAAAAAAAAAAGTTTATTTCAGGATACATTGCATTTTAGTAAGGTATAAAGTCTGATGATGCCTCACATTTATGGCTGACCATGTGACACCTTATTATTTGGCGAGAAGGAGCTGCTACTTATTGATTTAAGGCTTGGGGGCAGCATTTGTAGGTCCTTAGTAAATGTTCACTGGATGAATAGAACAGTCTGGTATTGGAGGAAGGTCAGTGCCATATCATTCAGTAATTTTTCTTTGAGTTTCCTACTCTCTGCCATTTTTGGATGTGGTGTGTCCTTCATTCAGCAATACTTATTGAGCATCTGCTATGTACCACACAGTATTCTAGACGAGGGGTTCAGGAAGAACAAGACAGCAATGTCCTCATGGAGCTTACTTTCTAATTGGGGGGACAGAAAATATGTAAGTGTGCAAATCATTAATCAAGAGTTTCAATGAGGGATGAAAGCTATGGAAGGAATCAAGAGGGGAAGGTGATAGAGAGTGATGGGCAGTGGTGGAGGACACCTTTAGTCACACTGCTCAGGGACGGCCTCTCAAGAGTTGCCATTTGGGGCCGGCCCGTGGCTCACTCGGGAGAGTGCGGTGCTGATAACACCAAGGCCACAGGTTCGGATCCCATATAGGGATGGCCGGTTCGCTCACTGGCTGAGCGTGGTGCTGACAACACCAAGTCAAGGGTTAAGATCCCCTTACCGGTCATCTTTTAAAAAAAAAAAAAAAAAAGAGTTGCCATTCTGCTGAAACTAGTCCTGTAAATGTTAGAAGAAGGGTATCAAGTTCCTGATCATCAGGAACAGCATTTTCTTTGTCTACTCTATCACAGAACTATGGAAGGAACCCTTCTCTCCTTTGTTCTGTTAAGGAAAATGTTATTAGGACTCCAGGCAGATTTGAGAAAGTGTGTAAGTGAGTGTGTAGGCTCCAGGTTCTATTCAGAACAGCACATTGGCAGGGCAGTTCTTAGGGCTTCTCGTCTCCAGCCCATTTGTTTCTTTTCACCTTTGCTAAGGACCCTCACCCCAAAGCCAGTATTTTGTTATTAGTCCTTTTCAGATTCTTGCTTCTATTCCCCACCATGGAGGAGATAGATCAGGAAGTGCATAACTGGAGTTAGGTTTACAGTCTGGAATTTGGTAGAATCAGGTAGTGCTGGTTAAGGAAAGTGTCCCCTGCCTTGCCTTCAGTCATAGTTAATCTTCCTTGTGTTGATACAATCGACGCTAAACACGGATCCTGACATCTCAAGACTGGTATGCCCAGTGTGCTTTCACTTGCGGAGATCCTACGTCAGCTTTGTTTTAAAATTGTGGAACAGATTTTTGAATGCCTTTTCTTTCTGAAGGGAATTTATAGTCACAGTGATAGCTGACATTTATTGATCACTGAGTAGTTTCCTAATGCTTTCCTCAGGGAATTTTTTTTTTTTTTTTTGTCTTTTTCGTGACCGGTAAGGGGATCGCAACCCTTGGTGTGGTGTCGCCTGCACCGTGCTCAGCCAGCGAGCGCACCGGCCAGTCCTATATAGGATCTGAACCCGTGGCGGGAGCGTCGCTGCCCTCCCAGTGCCGCACTCTCCCGAGTGCACCACGGGGCCGGCCCCTCAGGGAATTTATAGTCATAATAAAAAGGAGTTACTGACCATCGACTCAGTGCCAGGCACTGCGGTGAGCACAGAGCACAGGCATAATCTCATGCACTCTCGTGACAGCTGCATGAGCTAGGTCCTGTGAAGTAGGCACTACTGTCTTCTCCATTTTCCACATGGGGAAATGGAGACTTGAAGGGTAAGATCACAGAATTGGCATCAGAAACCAAGCAAAACCCTACATTTGTCTGATTCCAGAGTCTCTGTTGGCCACACTGTCATGCAACTATGGCAAAATAGAATGATCACGTAAACCCTCCTTAAATAGTGTCTGCAGAGCCCATCTTAATTCTAAGAAGTCAAGAAACTACTGTTTCCAAGGCTACAGCAATCATGAGAAAATCTCTAAGGAGATGACAGACTTGGCCTCTCTTTCAATTTGCTGGGACTGCCAGCTGCAGCCCCATTGCTGCATGCATGCTTCCTGGGATGAGGGGATACCAAGTAGTCCCAGCCCTATGTAAAAATATCAGGGGGAACCCAAGCTAGTGTGACAAGGAAGGAAATACATTATAAAAGCCACAAAAGAAAGGATAGGCAGACTCAAATACATAAAAACAGAAAACTTCTCTATGGTGGACACATTATAAACAAAGTCAGCCAACAGATGGTAAACTGAAAAATTGTTTACAGTGGACATGAAAAACAAGATGTGAAGTCCATGATGTGTAAAGAAGATCAGATCAAGGACAACAGTCCAGTGGAAGCTGGCAAAGGATATACAGAAATCCACAAAGGAAGAACGTGAAATGCCAGTCCACATATGCAAAGATTCTTAACTTTAGTAATCAGAGCAAAGCAAACTAAAAAAAATCTATCTGTAGGCCAGTTTTTGTTTATCGTATTGTAAAAATTTAAAGATTGATGATATCTGCTCTTCACAAGAAATGAGGTGAACAGGTGCTCTTAAGTACTTGGATGTGAACATAAACTGAACCAACATTCCACCGCCACCACTTAGTCCAGTCTGCTGGGTCTCCAGCCTGGACTGTAAAAGTCTCCCAGCATCTCTTCCTGCCCAGATCCCATCTGGACACAAATCAGACCATGCCACCCTTCCTAAACCCTTCAGTGGCCTTTCCTCTGTCTAGTTTGAACACTTAGCTCCTCACCCCAGGCCTCGGAGCTCTGTGCGGTCTTGTACCTGTTTACTTCTCCCTCCACATCTAAGCTGCTTTCCCTCTTCCTATGTCCTTCTTCTGCACAGATCACACATAGCTCAGTTCCTCTAGCAGGCTGCTGTCTTTTCTGCCTGGGGCCTTTACTGTTTGCTGTGTTTACCCCTGGAAAGCCCACCTCACCTCCAGCACTTTTCAACCTTCAGGTCTCAGCTCACATGGCACTTATGTAGGAAGCTTTTTAAATTAATGTCCATTGAAATGGCCTTGGTCAAAGGTATTGTTGTATATCCACACACTGGAATGCTTTGTGGCTATTTTTAAAAAGATAAAGTAGCTGTATGTTTCTTGGGGAAAGAGGACCATAATTTGTTATTAATTGAAAAACAAAAGCAAGTTGCAGAATAATTTGTATAGTCTGTTACCATTTCAGTAAAAAATGTATACCTTTGTATGTTTGTGTACTAATATAAAATGTACCTTTGTATATAAAATCCACAATTTTTACTTTGTATATAAAACATAAAAATGTGTACCTTTATATATTTGTATATTTACATACAGAAAGAGTCTAAAGGAAAACTCATCAAAAGTAAGTGATTACATTTAAGGAGTAGAATTTTGGGGTGAGAGACATTTTTTAAAATTACTTTATTGAGATAATAATTTTCATACAATCCAATGCACATGTGTTTGTGTACATAGTTTGATAAGACTTAAAAATCTCTGTATCCAGGCAACCCCCACCTCAACTCTGGATTCTGATCCCTGACCCCAGGAGTGGCGGTGGTTGTTGCTGTTTGTTTGTATGGTGACTTGTCTGAACTAATTTCTGTAGCCCAGAGTGTGCAGCAACTGATGTTTCTGCTTAGGGTTTTTGTTGTTGTTGTTATTGTTGTTTTAATTCTTATTCTTACTTTTAAGCCTGTTCTGAGGGTTGGCCCAGCTCAGCATAGCTTAGTGGTCAGCTAGTGATTGGTCAGACGTTTATGCAGTAAGACATCAGCCCTCTGCCAGGGCGTCTGTGTAGGTTGGGACACATATTCTCTGTTCAGACAGCTTCCCTGCCTGTCCCAACTCGCTTTTTGTTTTAAGTAGGGCCTTCTGCTCAGCCAGATGAGTGGGTAACTGGGGCCCGCTCTGGTCTCTCCTGAGTGCCTTCCAGATTCCCAGGAATATGTGGGAGCTTACAAAAGTCTGCCATAGCTGTCTCATTGCCCAGATCTCCTTTTTGAATTTTGGGCTGGACTCTTGTGTGCCCCAGCCAGCGTCAAGGGCTCGGCTGTGATGCTGTCCTTCCCTGTCGTGTCTTCACAAGCTCCCTGGGCATGGACTTTCTGTGAGTTCCACATCATGGAGGTCAGGCCCTCCATGGCTGCTGCATCATGGAGCTGGCAGGGGCAGGAGATGGGAACAGCCCTATGCAGAAATACCACAGGTACTCGATGTCCTTACTGAGGTTCAGCAGTTTTTCTTGAATAAGAAGTTCTCACTTTGTTGTATACTTTGGTGAATGTCCAAAGTTCTGAACTGGTTGTTTTTGACAGTTTTGTCCAGTTTTATGGTTGCTCTTGGGGAGAGGATTTGCTTAACTCCTCACTCTGACATTCTAGAAGTCTGGTTAACGCATATTTGCATTTATTTGCTGTTAAAGATGTCTTGGCAAAATTATTACACCTGTTGGCATTACCCAGATTTCTGCTTATTTTCATTGCACAGATCCGTGGGTGCCAGTGCTATGGGTGGTTGTATAACTCAAATCATGGAGATCCATTACCCAGTACTATGGCCTCTTAGGTTTTATACTAAAATTAGGGAGATTTTTGACTCAGTTCTGTATCAGGAGGGTATGAGGACATGTCCTACCCACCTCACCTCCCAGAAAACATGGTGCAACATTTAGAGACTGCTTCCCTCCTGTTTTCTTACTCTGTCTTTTCCTCCTGTGTTTCACCTCTGGTGGACATTAGAATTGCTAGATTGTTAAGAGTTTGGAGTTGCTTGTCGTGCATAGCTGATTTGAGGCTGAAATGGGTTTGAACACACAGGTTCATGTTCTCAGTGTATATGGTGCTTCACCATTTCCTTCAACTCTGTTATGAATCCATGGCTGCTTCTCTGGCTCCGCTGCCACCTGGCCCTCCCTGCCCTCTTCCTCCATCCTCTCATCAGCTGAGAGGGTTGCTGTGAGCCATGAGAATTCTTACATATGGTTAAGTCTTCATTATTGAGTTTGCTGTTTTTTCCCAGAATCTGTGTGTAGCTTTTCCCCCTTTACTCTAATTGCTATCCTAGGATTGACTCAGCCTCCAGTATTGGGGATGCCCCTAGTTTTATGCTCACCTGATTCATCCATAAAATGATCTTCAGCACCTCTCTTGTGCTGCACTTTTGGATTCTGTGGTTTAATTCTTGAATGTTTCTTCCCACAGGCTTTAATGACAGGGAGCCTCCCTGGCTTTATCGATGTTGACAGGAACCTCAATTCTCCTGCACTACTGGAAGACAACGTGATAAGACAGGCAAAAGCAGCTGGGAAAAGAATAATCTTTTATGGAGATGAAACATGGGTTAAATTATTCCCAAAGCATTTTGTGGAATATGATGGAACAACCTCATTTTTTGTGTCAGATTACACAGAGGTCAGTTTTTAAATAAGAGAAATATGTCATGCTAGGTAGAGTCTGGCACCACCATTACTTAGTAAGAGGCAATATTATTTTGTATATGGCTTTTATTAATTTATGGGAAGTGGTACAGAGAGACTGCAAAAATTATTCACACACGTAATCAGTTACAACCCAGGGATATAAACCCTGATCCACATGTGAGCGTAGTTGTATGGAGCCCAAATCATAGAACAGATGAGCACCCACTGTGGGGTACAGAGGATCAGGAAGGGCATCACAGCAGAGGAGCTATTTGAGCCAAGTTGTGACGAGTGAGTGGGGACTTCCCAAGTGGACAAAACAGGGTGGCAGCATCTGTACGCAGCAGAACTGTAGGGTTCCACGGCCTGTGTGGAATATTTGGACCTTTGGTTGTCCTGGAAGTGGGGCATCGTCCTGCAGTGAGGGCAGGCAGTGAGCTGGGCGGAGCCTGGTCCTGAAGGCACCAGCCCTGTCCTCGCGGTTGAAGTTTCCAGCAAGGGAAAGAGCAGGATTAGACCCACACGTTAGAAAGTTGGCGCTGGGGCAGAGGCAGGAGCTCACCAGCTTGTGTACGCTTGGTATTGGGATGGACATCCTCCCCTCTCAGTTTGCTGGGCCTGGCAAGCATCTGCAGTCCTGCTAGTCCTGTCTGCAGTGATGCCCTTTTCTGCAGTTTGTAAGGGTACATCAGCCTGTGCAGACACAGCAGTTACTTTTCAGTAATGACTGAGTTTCCCCATATTATAAATGGCATCATTCAGAAACATTTCTCTTTGTAGTAGATTTTTTAGTGGGAGGGAGATGGGCTAGCTGAGGGGTCAGGGCTGACCAGGCTAATGGCTCTATCTTTGGCTGCTCAACTGTTAATCTCTCCATGCTGTGTTTATGTCAGAAATAAATGTGATCACTGAGTGCTGTCTCTTTCCTTCCCAGAACAGCCTCCTAGGATACACGTAGATGGCCTCAGCTTCCCTGTCCTGCTGGTTGCTTTAACTCTGGGTACTGTTCTGTTTTTAGTTAATTGCCCTTCGCCCTTAATTACCTCATGAGAACTTGGGACTATTTAACTGGCTCCTTTGCTCAGCTTTAGTTAAGCCCAGCAGTGATCCCACAGAAAAAAATTTCTTGTCAGAACAGTCCTTACGCATTTAAATTATCTGTATAACATTCTTTTTTTCCTGTGGCTGGCCAGTACAGGAATCTGAACCCATGACCTTGGTGTTATATGACTACGCTCTAACCAACTGAGCTAATCAGCCAGCTGTCTGTGTAACATGTTCTATCCATAGGGTATTAGTAAAGGCTTAATCTAATGCTGATTTATTTTTAATGACATAGTTTTGTGTTTTAATTTAATGTCTTTTTTTTTTTTTTTTTTGTCTTTTTCATGACCGGTAAGGGGATTGCCACCCTCTCTCCCAAGTGAGCCACGGGCCGGCCCCTTTTTTTTTTTTTTTTTTGTCTTTTTCATGACCGGTAAGGGGATTGCCACCCTTGGCTTGGTGTCGCCCGCACCGCGCTCACTGCTGAGTGCACCGGCCATTCCTATATAGGATACGAACCCACAGCGGGAGCGTTGCTGCACTCCCAGCGCCACACTCTCCCGAGTGCGCCACAGGCCGGCCCTAATTTAATGTCTTTTAACTTCCATGAGTCTATTGCCTAAAATAAATACCTAGATTTAGTGACTGTCACTTTTTTCTTGGGGAGTGAAGATCAAAGGAAAATAAGTGAGCCGTTTATATGTTCTTTTCCCCATTAAAGGTGGATAACAATGTCACACGGCATTTGGATAAAGTATTGAAAAGAGGAGACTGGGACATGTTAATCCTCCACTACCTAGGACTGGACCACATTGGCCACATTTTCGGGCCCAACAGCCCCCTGATTGGGCGCAAGCTCAGCGAGATGGACAGTGTCCTGATGAAGATCCATACCTCACTGCTCTCCAAGGTGAGGCCCCTAGAGTGTGCTGTGGGGGTGGAATTTCACATTGCCCATGTTTGCTAGAACAAATGAGACAGCCTACGTGAGCTCGGGTCCACTAAGAGCTGCTATTTGTAAAGTAAAGGTAAATTCTTAAGTTGTTTTCTTTCTTTTTTTTTTCCTTTTTGTCTTTTTTCGTGACCGGCAACGGGATCGCAACCCTCGGTGTCGCGCCCATACTGCGACCGGCAACGGGATCGCAACCCTCGGTGTCGGGCCCGCACCGCGCTCAGCCAGTGAGCAGACCGGTCTCTATATGGGATCCGAACCCTCGGCGGGAGCGCCACCGCGCTCCCAAGCACTGCACTCAACTGAGTGCGCCACCAGGCCGGCCCTTAAGTTGTTTTCTTAACAAGGTTGTGTGTTCTCTTCTGTCTGAATGTAGTTGAAATACTTTTCCTTTGCCTTGCAGGAGAGAGACACTGTTTTGCCCAATCTGCTGGTTCTTTGTGGTGATCATGGCATGTCTGAAACAGGAAGTCACGGGGCCTCTTCCATAGGGGAAGTGAACACACCTCTGATTTTAATCAGTTCTGCATTTGAAAGGAAACCTGGTGAGAATTTAGAAATGTTTAATAACATTTTGAAACTGTATTGTTTTCTATAGTCTGGTTTCAATATCCTGAACAATGTGAGAATGAGAATTAGTGGGGCGAGGGGCAGACAGGATTTGGAGTTTACAGCCCTTTCCCAGATTCTTAGAATACAAATATTCTTTGTAGGAATTTTGTTACATGAATGTTACTGCCTGGATATCTGGAACTGTTAAAAAAATATTTCCAGTAACTTAAAGTTATCTGAATCACATATATGAACTGCAGGAAACATAAATACTTAAACTTTTAAAAAAGTGTTTATTATTTAAACCCATGTATTGAATAGCGGTGTCAACAAGGCTCACAGGATCCAGTTGGAGCAGGATTGTCTGGCGACTCCTCTGCAGTCTTCAGATGCAGCCCACACACCGCCATCTCTGAGGCCTGTGCCCTGACACTCCTTCCCTCACGGCCATCTGCGTGTGGTCCTGTCAAGCTTCCTCACCTTCCACACTTGACTGACATGCTCACAGTGGGCTCAGCACTTGTTTCTGCAACACTGTTGAGCCCAGCGGACACTTTCTGGCTCTGTTGTCACCAATCCTTCAGAACCATTTAGTACTGCTGGCCCCGTAGCTTCTGGGACCCCCCATTCTTCTGGCTTTCCTCTGTCCTCTCTCTTTTTGCTCGGTTAACCCTCTTTGCTGGCTTAGCTGGCTCTTCTGGTCAGTTTTTCTGGGCTCTCTTTTTGTTTCATTCTGCATTCCCTCCTGAGGTGGTCTCATCTGCTTCCATGGCTGTAACTGCCGTGAGTGGCTCCACACCCATCAAGTCATCCTGCAGCTGTCTCACTTCTCCAACCTACACCCCTGTCTGCCCAGCTCCCTGGCTCCCCACGTTCTGTGCCATCACTGTTCTCCCCTTACAGAAAGGCTTTCAGTAGCTGGACTTAGGATAAGGTGAGAAATCCTGTGTGAGGCATTGTCTTGAGCCATACTCTGTCCCTCACCAGGTCCTGACCTCTGCCCTCCTGCAGGAGTCAGCTAATGTCACTTGCTCACCCATGAGACTGAATTACATTCCCCTGTCAGTCTCTTCCTTAGCACCCCATGCATTCTGTTGGCACTTATCATTACAGACTTATTTATGGGCTCCTGTGATATCTGCCTCCTCATAACACCTTAGGCCAGGTGAGGGCAGGGCCACATCTGTTTTCTCATCACTACATGCATGAGAGGTGCCAAAAGATATTTGCTGAGTGAGTGACTCTTCCATTTCAGTAAGGATTGGTTGAAGAAGTATCTCCACCTGTTTCCTTCTATCCTTTTACACAGCTTCCTCCTCTTGGATGTCTGACTCCGAAGATATGTTATTGGGCTCTTGTAACCCAACCCTTTCCCGGGTGCCCAGGCTGGAAGCCTGTCTTACAGTGTGTGTACATATCAAGTAATGGCACCCAGCTTACTCCACCTGCATTTCACCAAACACTGTCCAGAGCAACATCAGTGTGTGAGGGCCCCACATGGGAAACGCCCTTCCTTCCATCCATCCATCATCCATTCATCCAGCAGAGGTTTCCTGAGCACCTGTACTAAGCCAGGCAGTGTGCGTTAGGCTCGGCTGATGTACCAAAGAGTGAGCCAGACTCAGCCTTTGTCCTTGAGGTACTTATAATCTAGGGAAGAAAAGAGATAATTAAGTTGATTTTTTTTTTTTAAGTACAGGAACTTTAGGGCTGTTTAACCAAAGTGCTGATGTTTTCATCTCTAAAATGTGTATTTAAAAAAAAAACCAGAGCCAGGAAGGTTGAGGGCAGCTGCATATGTGCAGACTGGCTGCAGGTGTTGTTCAAGCAGCCAGCCTCAGTTCTTTTTTAAATTTTCTTTCTACTAGTGATCCAGCCCCTTTTATTTTATTTTTGTTAATTTCTTTATTTATTATTATTATTATTTTTTTTAACATTCTAAGATGTTTTTGCAGAGCAGTTGGGAGGGAGGAAGAGGGTGAAAGGGGAGGGAAATATGGTGGGAAGGGCTGTGGTCAAGGCCTGGGGTGCCCCCCTCATTACAGCAGGGGAGACCAGGCGGCTTCCAGCAGCAGCTCAGTTGTTGCTGGGCTGGATGCAGATGTCACGTGTGTGGCTGAAGCCCTCGGCCCTCCACCTCCCCACCTGAGGAGCCCAGGTTGTTTCCAGTGGTGGTTCAGTGGTCATTGCTGGGCTGGTTGCAGATGTTGGTGGGGGACATGGCTGAGGCCTTTGGCCCACCACTGCCCCAGCTTGGGAGCCTAGGGTGCTTCTGGTTGAGCTCAGTGGTCATCAGTGGGCTGTTCGTGGACATTGGGGTGTGGCAGGGGCTATCAGACCCCATCACCCTGGCTCAGGAGCCCAGGGCTCAGTGGTCATCACTGGGCTGGTTGTAGATGTCAGGGGAGTATGGCTGAGGCTGTCATCTCCCCACCTCCCTAGCCTGGGAGCCTGGGGTGCTTCTGGCAGCAGCCTGGTTGTTGTTGCTGGGCTGGGTGTGGTCGTGTTGGGGCATGGCTGAGGCCTACAGTCCTCCCCACTGCCTAGCTTGGGAGGCCAGGGTGTTTCCAGTCCTCTTAGGTTTTTTTTTTTTCAAAGATGACCGGTAAGGGGATCTTAACCCTTGACTTGGTGTTGTCAGCACCACGCTCTCCACGTGAGCGAACCGGCCATCCCTATATGGGATCCAAACCCGTGGCCTTGTTGTTATCAACACCGCACTCTCCCAAGTGAGGCACAGGCCGGCCCTAGTCCTCTTAGGATTTATAGGTGTTCTTTGGTGGTGTTAGACCTTTACTTGCTAATATCAAACTTTGTCTCTGATCTTGGGTATTTTGGTTTCTCTCTCAGTTCTGTGTTGGATTATTTGCTGTTCCTGCCACTTAAACTTTGCACTGGAACTAATTTGTTGTCCTTTGAGTACTTCTAAAATGGGGGAACTTCCTGTGGGGACCAGCACTTGAGCCACATGGTTGAGCTAAATTGCTACTTTGCTCCTGATTCCCTAGGGAAGGCTCTTTGTGCAGCTAAGGTTTTCATTCTTAACCTTATATGTACTTCTGGGTCTTGTGAGGTCTGGTACACCTAGGTTATGTGGAAATTCTCATCTGGGCCTGAGGCTTTCAGCAAACTGCTCCCCCTGTAATTCTGTATTCCTGACCAGTCTTCACTGAGTGGTCCTGTACTGATTGGAGGGCCGATCAGGTGTCAAATCTGCCCCAGTGTTCTCCTAGTGGGCCTCTCTCCCCCACCGCCCATACTCCAAACACTTCTCATGGGATGGGCCATGTGCCAGTCCCTTGCAATGACTCACTGGCCTCTGAGTAGTTCCTTTTTTCAGTTGTCTGTGGCTCTTCCTATGTGGGTCCACAGGAACCCCATTGGTGGTCTTGCTGGCTTGGGGGCCACCAAAGCGCTCCTCTTCCCTGCCACCTCCAGGCAGCTTATAGGAAGGGCACAGTTGTGGATTCTGCCAGCTCTTGCTCTGCACTCACCTGCTCCAGCGTTGAAGTGGCCAGGGCTCCAAATGGTGAAAGCAGTCCTTTCTTTTTCTCATTATGGCGAGTCCTGCCTTCGTGAACTCCATAGGTCTCTCCTCCTCTTCCCCTGAGCTCTAGCAGCCCCAGCTTGACTATTGTTGCTTTTTAATAGTTGTAAATTGGTTGATTTGTGGGAGAGAGTGATGCTGAGAACCGTCTTTTCCACCATCTTGACTGGAAGCCCCAACCTCTGTTCTGATGGTTGGTTCTGTTTTGTTTTTTATGAACAGTTGTATTCCTTATCCTCATGATGCCCATTTTATAAGCCAGGACTGTCCTGTCCTATTTAGTACATTCATAGGGCTTCCCAGTTCTCACTGTCACTATCAATTTTAGGACATTTTCAATAGCTCAGAAAGAAATCTCATATTCTTTAGCAGTCACCTTCCACTGTCCCTAGCCCTCGGCAATCATTAGTCTGCTTTTTATGTGTATAGATTTGCCTCTTCTGGACATTTTGTATAAGTGGAGCCATATGATATATGGTCTTGTATGTCTGATTTCTTTCACTTAGGATGATTGCCTTGGATTGACTGTCCCACAAAACCTGACCCCCACTGTGACAGTGTTAAGAGGGTGGGAAATCCTGTTACAGTAATTGAAAGGTGGGGTACTGAATTGGTGATTATATTCTGAGGATCATGCCGAGTGAATGGATTAAAAATGGTGGTCATGGGCATGGTTCTGAGGGCTTAAAAAAGAGAGTGAATGACGAGGTTAGACTCTGTCACTCTGTCCTGCCATTTTCGCAATGTGATACTCTGCTGTCACTGAAGTCACCACCAAAGAAAGCCTTCATCAGGAGTGTTCCCTGGACTTTGGACTTCCCAGCCTCTGAAACTGTAAGCAATAAATTTTGTTTTCTTTATAAATCACCCAGTTTCAGGTATTTATGTTATAAGTAGCAGAAATGGACCAATCCAGAGAATTGGTACTGAGAGTTGTGTGTTGCTTATAGTTGAAAATGTGGGAAAGGTTTTGGACCTGGGTATTCAAGAGAGGCTGGAGGAATTTGTAGGAACAGGCTAGAAAAAGCCTCACTGCTGGAGAGAGTTCAGAAGACAAGAAAACCAGAGAAAGTTTGGGATGTTTTAGACTGGTCAAATGGTGGTGAGCAGAATTCTGATAGAAGAACGGACAGTAAAGGCCACTCTGAGAAGGTTTGAGACATAAATGAGAAGGGACTTATTGGAAACTGGGGCAAAGATCACACCTTCTATGAACTGGCGAGGGATTTGGCCACATTCTGTTCATGCACCAAAGTATTATGGAATGTGGAACTTAAAAATGCTGACTCAGGGTATTTGATGGAAGAAATTTCTAAGCAGCAAAACATTCAGGAAGCTGCACAGCCACCTGCAACAGCCAATACTGAGCTATAGCAGAAAAGGCATGATGTAAAGCCAGAATTTAAAAGGAAAGCAGAGCATAAAGATTTGGAATATTTGCAGCCT